AACAGTTTTTTTCCCCAAGAAGTATAATCACTTGAGACTTAAAAGATGCTACTAGCAAGCCCAGGATTTTTTTTTTTTTTTGTAATGGTTTCATTTTATGAGAGACAAAGACTTCCATTAGTAGGATCACTAGGAGGAAATCTTGCCTCCCTTCCTTTCTGATCCCCTCTCCTCCCTCGAAACAGTCTTGCTATGCAGCCCAAGACGGCCTCAAACTCATAATCTTGCCTCAGTCTCCTGAGTGCTGAGATTACATGCATGAACTACCACACCTGGCTAGGAAAAGGGTTTACTATGTGAATTTTTAAGAAGTTCAAATACCGTATTTTATTAAGGGGAAATATAAGAAAAAGAGACTCAGCTTTTAATTTTTAACAGTATTTGGTTAAAAAAGTTGAACAGCTCTTAACAATAGATATAGTGGATATACACGTATGCATATTCATATACATAAAGGCAATCTATAGCAATGACTTGCCACCTTAGGAAGAAGATTAAAAGATGGAAAACAAATATATGTTTCATAATGAAAATGTTCACCACACAAAGCAAGCTACAAACTATTGGAATACTACTCTTTCTTTAAAAAAAATTATTATCAAGGTGATGTACAGAGGGGTTGCAGTTACATATGTAAGGTAATGTTTACATTTCTTGTTGAACTTGTTAGCCCATCCCTCATTTTTCTCCCACGTTCCCCCTCCTGCCTGAATCCTCCTGGAATACTATTCTTTCTACAAATGTTCATGACATCTCATTTATATATGGGCTATGCACTTGTATCATACCAATTAGTGTTTTGCCATACCAAAGGTGGCATTCACTTTATAGGCAGTAAAACTTTGGCTTAGAGAAGTTGATTTTAATTTGTTGAGGGTCCCACAGTCAGCCTGGGGCTGAACTATGGTCTTAACCACTAAGCTATTTCAGAGAATAATTTCAATGTACTCATTAAAATTGTCACTTAACAAAACATACACCCATAATTTATTTCCTGAGACATTATGTTCCTAAGTTTATTGCTTGTTAATTATTCTTTGTGTTCATGCAGTGATAATCCTGTATTTTCTTACTATCTACCAGTACAATCTGAACACAGACAGGATGCATTCTTTTGTTTAGCAATGAAGAAAACAAATAATGATTTACCTACAGGCGTTCTAGCAGTTTTTGTGATTTGCCTGAAATCTCAGCTGTGGATTTTATGACACAAGATTGGATAGCACAATGCAAAGTGATGTTTCTTTTCCTGCTGAGAAACAGATGACTGTACCCCAGTAGGTCTAACCCTAAAAAGCTGGATTTGTAAAGTTACCACTTAGCTCCCAGGGAGAAGAAACCTTCCTCAGACTGCTGGGCTCGAAGGCTTGGTGGTTGGGGTCTGGACAAATTAGTGTGAAACCAGAGAAACACAGTGTGGTGCTTCGTCTCCCAAACTGCTGTTTGAATGTATCAGGACACTTTTAACCACCTTACTTTAAAAATAGCAGGTAGGATGAGTTACCACCAAATATAAAACCGATATACAACTTTTAAAAAGGGAAACCCTTAATTTAAATTTATGTAGTGACTCACTTCTGAAATATTTATAGCATATTTACTGTGTCCTAGACAATTTGTGGTGCCTGGGGAAAGAATGATGAACAAAAGCAGACAGGCACGGTCGCTATTTCTGATGAAATTGTGCATTCAGAGGTGGGAACACACTACCTTTGTGGTGTTTATTAACTGATTTTTACTACCTTAGGGTCTCAAATGAGAATAAATGTGACTGTCAACCACACACTAACACAGCCTGTGTAATTTTTTTTATATTTGACTTTTCAGATTACTATTTACACTAAGATACTGAAAACATTTAAGAACACATATATCTATGAATTAGAGAGAAAAATATGGATTAGACTAAAAGAAAAAGAAGCCATGTTGCCACACTGTAGGTAAAGGCATAAATTGAGGTGAATAGGTGCCCTGTCAAATCACCAGGGCTCAACACCACTGGTCCAATCTCTGATTTCCTTGAAGTGTTGGGAAAGCTGTGTTACTGACAACAGCATGAAGGCCACCAGGGAGATGGGACTATTTCCATATAGTTTTCACAGTGCAGTGAACAAGTGTAAGCTAGTTCTGTAACCACTCTCAAGGGCCATGTGGAATAAGTCTCTGAACCCCTTTCATACATGACATTTCCCCTACTGATCCTGGTCCCTTCACCTGGTCCACACTTCCCTATCCCTCCAAACTTCCTACGTACAATCATCCTGATACATCATACCTCTTATGCACCAACTATGGAACTGCTCTTCTTCTTCTGCAGGCATATTCTCGAATGGCCCAGTTTGCTATGGGTTGGCCTGAGATCACCTTTTCAGTTCTAACTCTTTGTTCTTTCTTTATAGGTACCTTGTCATTATCCTAGTGCAGTTTAAAAGAATCAGGTATCTTTACACATACTAGCAAGTACAGAACTTTTAATAAGATCCACTGTGCTATCATTATTTTAGCAATAATGGATATGCATATCACATCCCTTAGGTACAGCACCACACCCAAGGATAAACATAAGACTCTGGAACAAATGGCCATCCCTAGAGAGGCAACTCTGGAGCTCAGGTCTTTAGGTGGGAGATCCACTTTCTACCATATGTAATTTTCCCTCTTTGCAACTTAAATTGGACAGTAGGTGCTTAGATTTACTTAAGCACATATGCCTTGGATTTACTTGTGAGAATTTTCTATGAGTCTCCCTTCCTTACTTTCTCACTTCTATGTAACTTGATTTCACTTTCTTCAGAAGCATATGCCTTAAACCTCGCAGTTGTCCCATAGTGAATAATCTTGCCTTGTTTACATATCAGTTTTATACTGTTATTTGTAGACATTATTGCTTCCCTTATGATGTGTAAGCTTTTAGAAAGCTTTTCTGCCTGGGCGGTCTTAGTCATAATTTTGGCTGTAATAGCTGAAAATTCATACATGTGAGGGTGGAGAATGGAGACAACTGAAAGCTACAATGCCATTTAGTATTTTGCTCTCAGTGCCTGGCACAGAGCCTGTTGAGTAAACAAGAAGTATGTCTACTCACTGGTGGAATTTCTGTTTCCAGCTTGTGTTTTTAGGATTATGGTTTTGATTCACAATAGCGCTTGTTCAATAATTAAAGGCATAAACAATTTTGACAGCTGCAAAACCATCTACCATTCTTTAAGTTACAAAGTTGCTCAATGATTTCCAAGAAAGGGGAAAAGAAAGTATCAGAGGACTGTTTTGAGGATGAAGTAAGAGATCACCATTCTAATGAAAAAAATCTGAAGTCAAACAATTATTACAGAGAATTTCCATTCCATCGCTAACTTCTAAACATGTTCTTCAGCCCCTTCATCCCCAACCCTTCTGCATAGCTAGCCCTTCAGCTTCACCCACAGCCCTAATTATCAGGCTTGCTCCACTCTGCGTCACAATGGTTATTTCAAGCACTTGCATAATCATCACCTCTCCTGCTCTGTCTTCCACCTTCCATCACAGTCACCTTGACTTTAGAGTATCAAGAGGTCATCTGACCTACACATTATATTGTTAACTTCTGTTTTATACCTGTATTCCTGGTAAGTTTTTATCCTTTTTCCAAATTGACAGCAAGTGATTATAGCAATAAAAACAGCATCCTAAGAATTCATATTTTTTCTCTCCAGAAGTTAGAACATTAAAACAAAACACATCAAAAACGAAACAATAGATCTTCCTTCTTAGATTATTTTTTTCTTTTTAAGTTTTGGACTTTGAACTCAGGGCCTCACACTTTCTACGTGAGATATTAAAGTAATACAACTACCTGAGCCACTCGGCCAATCTCTCCCCCTCCTCCTGTTCCTTCCTTCCTTTCTTTCTTCCTTCCTTCCTCCCTTCCTTCCTTTTCTTTTGGGTCTTATGCTTGTTTGACTGGTGTTATTCCATTTAAGCCATGTCTCCAATCTTGATTTTTGCTAGTTGTTTTGAAGATGGGCTGGACTCAAACTGAGTCTTCCAGATCTCAGCCTCCTGAATAGCTAGGATCACAGGTATAAGCCACTGGTGCCTGGCTCAATCCCTTTTTGCATTCATTACTTTCCAGTAAGGATCTTGCTTTTTTCTTGGGTCAGACTGGACTGAAATCCTCCTATTTATGCTACCTTTGTCACTGACAAAGTGACAGTGACAGCTGTATACCATTGAATCTAGCCACTGAGCTTTAGCCATAGGGTAGGATAGTAGGTGCGTGCTACCATGCCCAGCTATAGACTGAGATGACGTCTTAAAAACATTTATGCTTGGGCTGGCCTTGAAGTATGATCCCTTGATCTCTACCCCCAAAGTAGCTAGAATTACATGCTCAAGCCAGCGAGGAATGGCTATTTTGTACTATTCAACAGCGTTGTTAAGGAGAGGGGGCCTTATGTTTGTGCTGCTTGCTTGCTCAGCAGGCACTCTTTCACTTGAGCCATGTCTCCAGTCCCTCTTTATGCTGGCTATTTTTGGAGATGGAACCTAGCAGATATCTTCTGCCTGAATCTCAGTCTCCAAAGTAGCTAAGATTACAGGAATGAGTCACTAGTGTTGACTGTTTCCAAAATTTAAAAAGAAGCAATACATATAAAGCAGATATACAATGCTTAATCTGCAAAATAGAAAACCCAGATAGGAACAAGCCCCAGTCAGCCAGCAATATCTACCCAGGGGTGAGGGATGGGGAGGAGAGGTTGGTCTAACAGGGTGTTTAGGGGTGGGGGGTGGGGGTCTTCACAAGGAGATTTCTAAAGGAGCTTTTCCATCTTACAATATTAAGGAGATCTCTGGCCATTTCTTTTAGCCTTCACAGATACAAAGTTTTCATCAAGTTACATCAAAGTGTGAAAATAGTGTGACAGTAAAACAATGTATTCCCACATGTATGTGAACACAGAATAAAATAATATAAGGTAGTTAAGTTGGCACAGATGGTTTTGAGAAACAATGTTACTTACATCAAGGGAGCCTTCATTGATGACGATCATTCCCATGTTCTTCCTCAGCAGTTTGCAGGAATGCCCTGAGTACACAGAGGAAATTGAGGATATAATTAATGTTTCCAGGGAAGTGAGATATTAAAGTAATGATACTATCAAAACATCTAAAAAGGATTTATTTTTTTAAAAAGGGAGTAATGGTTTTTCTAGGTTTACAAGAAGTTAAAAATGAAATCCTTGCCGGGCGCTGGTGGCTCACGCCTGTAATCCTAGCTACTCAGGAGGCTGAGATCTGAGGATCGTGGTTCAAAGCCAGCCTGGGCAGGAGAGACCGTGAGACTCCTATCTCCAATAAACCACCAGAAAACCGGAAGTGGTGCTGTAGCTCAAGTGGTAGGACGCTCGCCTTGAGCTGAAGAACTGAGGGACAGTGCCCAGGCCCAGAGTTCAAGCCCCACGACCGACCAAAAAAAAAAAAAAATGAAATCCTTGCCTGGGCACTGGTGGCTCAAGCCTGGATTTTAGCTACTCAGGATGCTGAGATCTGAAAGTTGTGGTTCAAAGCCATCTCAAGCAGCAAAGTCCATGAGACTCTTATCTTCAATTAATCGTCAAAAGGCCAGAAGTAGAGCTGTAGCTCATGTGGTAGAGCACTAAGCCTTGAACAAAAAAACCCCTCAGGGACAGCATTCAGGCCATGAGTTCAAGCCTCATTACACACACACACACACACACACACACACACACACACACACACACACACACACCATAAAATTCTCTTAATTGCTACAAGAGATAAGATACAGGGAGTTTTTTTTGTTTTTTGTTTTTTGGCAGGAGAGGAGGGAGCTGTGTTCAAAACACTACAGAAGAGACCGTGGTAAGGATTCTCACTGATTTAAAGGTACCAAATGTATATGGACATCCTTCCTAATGGCCAACAGCAAGTGCTAAAGAAACCAATGGCTTTCCAAATCACCGTGGAAGAGGAGAGGATGGCTACCCCTTGCATCCAGGTTCCTGGCCACTTCTCTCTAGGGACACTGCAGCATCTCTCCCTGCCTGTCTTCTTTTGCAATGGTAAACTGACTATCGCAAACCTCCCCTTTCCTACATCCATCTCTGCCTGTAATGCCAGCTTGCTACAGTGGAATGTGGTTGGAGAAAAACAGGGAACCCTACCAAGTCCATTTGTGATCTCATTCCATTGCATGGTTTGGAATATTCTCTCTCTCTGTCTCTCCTCTCTCTCTTCTTGTGGTCTCATGTTGTAGACAATTTTTCTTTTTGTATACTGTTGGTACCACAACATTGACTACTCATTTTCTTTTTAGTAAGACCTCTGTTATGGACTGAATTGTGTCTCCCTGCCCCCAAATTCACATGTTGAAGCCAGAACTCCAATGAGACTATGTTTAGACACAGGACCCATGAGGAGGTACATAGGATCATAAGGGTGAGGCCTCCTATTGTCTGAATAGTTATGCTTCTCCAAAATTCATATACTGGAATATAACTACCAATGTGATGATAATAAGAGGTGGGACCTTTGGGAGGTTATTGGGTCACAAAGGTTGAGCCAATCATGAAGGAGACCAGTGTCCTTCAAAAGGACACCAAAGAGATGTGTGAAGCAGACACTGGATCTGTTGAGGTTTTGACTCTGGATTTTCCAGCCTCTAGAACTATGAGATGTAATTTCTGTTGTTTCTAAGCCCCTGGGTTTAGGGTATTTTTGTTATAGTCTTGCAAAGGGACTAAAGCAGGGCTCAGAAGTAATAGGACTAGCATCTTTATAAGACAGAGAGGGGTACAAATGCTAGAAGAAAGGCCAGGTGAAGACCTAATGAGCAAGTAACTTCTGCAAACGAGGATAGGCAGCCTCAGCAGAGAGCTATACTTCAGGAACCTTGGCTTTGGATTTTCAATCTCCTGAGCCGTGAGAGAGAAATATCTGTTAAAAGCCACCCAGTCTATGATAATCTGTAACAGAAACTTAAACTGAATCACCTGAAGTCTTTTAAAAAATTTGGGAGTTGAGCAAGTAGCATGAAGGCAAACTGGCCAACTTTATTTCTTAACTTAGAAACAAGTGTTAGTCACCCAGCAGTGATAGTGCAGAAGCATTGCCAGAGCTCCAGTCACCAAGGGAGGAAGGACGGGGTAGGTGGAGATACAAAGGTGAGAGGTCTGTGCTGCTGCAGGAGATAAAGCTGGGCTGCACAGAGATCGCTTCCCTTTCAAAGGCGCCACAAGGACACTGAGTGAGAAGCCTAATAACCTTACAGATCCGGAAAAATCTTTCCAATCTCAAAATGTCTCTAATCCATTTTACTAAAATGTACCAACCTGTTAAAAAGCACCCAGATTTAAAACTTGAATCAGGCGGATTACCTATGTTAATGGCAGTTTCTTGCTTGTCCCCTGTAAGGATCCAGATTTTGATGCCCGCTTTCATTAGTGTCTCTATGGTTTCAGGTACTTGATCTTGTAATTTATCTTCAATGGCTGTAGCTCCAAGTAGCTGCAGATTCTGGAGAAAATGAATGAGAAAAATGTTAAGAAAACCAGTTTTAGGTTGTGTAAGAGCAAAAACCAAAGGATGTATTTGTTTCAAAATTACAGGCATAACAGTAATTCATGGATTTTGGTATAAATTCCAACTATCCCACTGAGTTTTTGCTCTTAAAGACTCTTGATTTTCATCCAATAATTCTGGCATGAGAGTGAGAGTCTCTGAAGTTGTCTAACTTTACCTCTCCCTAAGGTTGATTGCTTCCCCAAACATAGCCCCTGCCCCCCACAGATGGAAATAAAAAGTCAATTGAAAAGAAGCAGACAGCTACTAAGAAAAACAAAACAGTGGAAGATTAACACAATGAAGAAGCAATTTCATTCACTTAAGTGTAAAGATAATATGCAAATATTATTAACTATTACTTTTGATATACAATGTCAGGAAATGTACATACGGGATACAATTAGAAATATGAGGAAGACAGCAAAAACCAAAATGATAGTATTCATCTGTCAAAGAAAAAATAAATAAGGTAGACACTCGTAGCTCATTAATGTAATCTTAGCTATCCATGAAAAGGCTGAGATCTGAGGATCTCCCAGGCAGAAAAGCCCATGAAACTCTTATCTCCAGTTAACCATTAAAAAACCAGAAGCAGAGCTGTGGCTCAAGTGGCTGAACACTAGCATTGATCAAAAAACTCATGAGTTCAAGTCCCAGGACCAGAAAAAATAAAAGGAGTGTTTTTCCCATTGTTGAACAACTGCATGTTAGAAGTCCAGGCTATCACAAATCCCTCATTCATTAAATAGGATCTTTCATGTAAGACCAAATACAGCCAATACTTCAGAGATACTCTAGAGGTACTTCTAGAGATCAAAATAAACACAATGGAAAAAAATCACATCAATTTTTTGTTTTCCCAGCGAATATAAAACATGTTTATACTATATATAGTATATGTGTACATAATATACTATACATAGTATATAGTATACATACCATATATAATGTATGTATATATAATGTATGTATATACATATATATATTATAGTTCATGCTATACTATATAGTATGTAGCAATACTATACTTAAAAAACCAACATAAGTAAAAAAAGTAATTTGTGAGGCCAGGAACAGTAGCATATACTTGTAATATTAGCTATTCAGGATGTAGAAAATGTATGATCATGGTTTGGTACAATTTAGGGCAAAAGCAAGCAAGAACTTATCTCAAAAACAAGCTGTAATTCCAGTCATGGTGTAAAGATGGCCGGCCTGCGCAAAAGCTTGACACCCTAAAGTTAACAGGACTTGAGGTTGGCTCAGATGGTAGACCATTTGCTTAGCAAGTGACAGGTCCTGAGCTCAATCCCTAGTACTACCAAAAAAAGTAATTTGCTGCTAAGAAATGCTAATAGTTATCTGTGCCTTTAGCAAGTTATAATGCTTCTGCTGGTGAAGGGTCTTGCTTTGATGTTAATGATTGTGCCAGTTTCATAACAGAAGACAACAACGAAATCCACAGGGAATGAAATTTTCTTTCATGAAACATTTTCTCTGCAAAAGATGCTGCAATTTGACAGTATTCTATTCACAATAGAAGTTCTTTCAAAACTGAAGTCAATCATTCACTCTTGGTATTGTAGCTTGAACTCAGGGCCTTACGCTTGCTAGTCAAGTGCTCTACCACTTAAGCTATATCTCTAACCATTATTTTTTGCTTGGTTATTTTCAAGGCAAGGCCTCATTTCATGCCAAGACCTGCCTGGACTGTAATCCTCCTACTTGTGTTTCCCTGTGTCACTGGGATGAAATCATGTACCACTGCATCCAACCATTATGCTAGCTGGAAAAACAGGCATGTGTTACTGTGCCCAGGCATTGGTTGAGATGGAGTAATAGAAACTTCTTTGTGCTTCAGCTGGCTTTGAACTGGAATCTCTATTTCTGAAGCTAGGATGACAGGCTTGAGGCATCCTACCCTGGTGGAGAAAATCCTTTCAAAATGTACCATTGCCAGCAGGGTGGCGGTGGTTCATACCTGTAATGCTAGCTACTAAGGAGGCTGAGATCTGAGGATCATGGTTCAAAGCCAGCTGAGAAAGGAAAGTCCTTCAGCCTCATTTCCAATAAACTACTCAGAAAAGGTCAGAAGTGGCATTGTGGCACTAGTGGTAGAACACTAGTCTTGAGTAGAAGCGGCTCAGGGACAGCCCCCAGACCCTGACTTCAAGCCCCAGGACCAGCAACAAAACAAAACCAAAACCAAAAGAAAACTCTACTACTGCCCTATGAACTAAGTTTCTTGTCATATTCTAAATACTGTGCTGGAATTTCAACGATGTTCAGAGCATCTTTATCAGGAAGAGATTCCATTTCAAGAAACAGCTTTCTTTGTTCACTCTTAAGAAAGTACTCCTGGAGTCTTTAACTTCTATTTCCTGTATGGGGAGCAGGAAATGTTTCTCTCCTTTTCTATTTCTCCCCACTTTAATCCTGCTATAGTTTTTTTTCTTAAAAAAAATTAAGAAACAACTCCCTATCCATTAAAGAGTTATCATGAGATTGCAGTAGTTCTTCAAGTCTTCAGGCTCCAGCTCTGATTGTGGTTCATTTGCTATGTCTATCATGTCTGTTTTACTTCTCACTCAAAGTCATCTATGAAAGTTAGAATCCACCTCTTTTAAGCCCCTGTTAATATTTTTGTCTGCTATGAACCACAAATGTTAATGCCATCGAGAATGACAAATTGTTTTCAATTTACTTTGCCTAGATAGACCCATGAGAGAACCACACTGCCTACACAGCTAGAGCCTCCAGGAAAGAACTTATTAAATAATACCACTTGGAAGTAGAAATCATGCTTTATTCCATGGACTGAAGAATGGATATTATGTTACCAGGCATGAACTTGTAATTCTTGTTTTTGTCTATCAGAACTCTTGAGTGACCAGGTACACTATCAATAAACAATAATATTTCAAAAGGAATCTTTCTTTTCCCTCTTCTGGGCTGTAGAACCCAGTAATATGCCTCAAATATTCAGGAAGCTACATTACAAATAGATATAACATACAGGCTTTGTTATTCCAGTTATGGAGCATGGGCAGAGTTACAGAGAAGATTTCATGTAATAGTTAAAGGGCTCTAGGATTTTCAGAATGCCAAATGAGCATACTTAATGTTCCTGGCTGATTCAGTCCCCTCTGAAGATTCAGTCTGCCATTTGAAATCAGATATTGACTTCTCCTTTCTGGCTATGAAAGTGCTAGTGGGCATTTTCTTTGGTCTCCAGGAGTATCTATTGCTAGTGTAGCCACATTCACCAGTGATCTCCCCATACCTTCCTGACCACCTGCTGTAGGGGTCTACAGCAGCACCTGCTGCCTCCTCGCCCCCCGCACTTCCATGTGATGGAGATGCCCTCTTTCCTTACGCCCCATGAGCAATGAACAACTTAAGTCAGTTTGGACTTCTCTTCCACAGATCTCTCTGACCCCTTTCAGTCTTTGCAGCACTGAAGAGGGTTCAGGCCTTGTTCTGAATTAGGCTTTGGCTTAAGACAATGCTATGTCTGGTCTGATCTTCTATCCCTACCACTAAGACTTTTCCATATCAACAACAGGACTGTCTTGCTTTCCTATCATTTGTGAGTTCACTGGATCGGCACTTCAAACTTCCTTAGGTAACTCTTCCTTTGCATTCACAACTTGGCTGTGTGGTGCCAGAGCCCTCACCCCTTCCAGTTGGTCTTGGCCTTAACTTCACTATGGAATCATCTCCGGCTTTTGAGTTTAAATGAGAAACTCTACTTTTCACTTAAATACATGGGGGTTATAATAGAGTGCAGTTTCAATACTACTGTATCCCAGAGAATGGGAGCATAGATTACAGGGGGAAGCGAGATGGAGAACAGCTAAGTTGTGAGACAATCAGAATACACACATTTATTAAATCCATTGCTTTATATGGGTGAGGTCCTGACACCTCCACACAATTATAATAATGAACATCACTGACCACAGATCACAAATGTAATTTTGGTGCAGCAAAGTTTGAAATACTACAAAAATACTTAAGATATAACATGAAGCCATGAAGTGCACCCACCATTAGAAAAATGGCAATACCACATTTGATCTACATGTGTAGGATTTAGGCCTGTACCAATTAAGAATGCTTTTGGATGCAAGTAATAGAAAACGATGACTAACAATGGCTAAAGTGAAGGTTTTCTTTCCTAACCTAAGTAGAGCTGAGAGACACTGCTGGGTATTATTAGATTAGGAGCTTAACTATCCATATTTATTCTCTTAGTTTCTCTGACTGGCTCAGAGTAGCTGTACAAATACAACTATAACAGCTATGTGGAAGATAAAAATAAGGAGGTAAGCCAGATGTGGTGGCTCAAGCTTGTAATTCTAGCTACTTGGAGGCAGAGACAAGGGGACCTCTGGGTCAAGGCCAGCTCAGGCATAAAAGTTTGCCTGATTTCATCCTGACCAATGTCTGTGCAAAATGGTACACACCTGCCACTGCATCAGGGAGACAAATAGGAAGATCACAGTCCAAGTTGGTCTAGCCTCGAAGTAATACACTGTCTCAAAAATTACTAACACAGAAATGGAGCTAGGGGTATAGTCAAAGTGAAAGAGTGTCTGGCTAGTAAGCTTGAGGTCCTGAGTTCAAACCTCAGTACCACCCAAAACAAGAACAATAAAAAAAATCAAAATGTACCAAGTGTATCTGATTCTTCTTAGAAAAGCAGAAATGCTCCTAAAACCTCCAACCCAATGTTTCTAAATGAAGTCAATTTCCCAGCCTGTGTTACAGGCCTACTTCTTACTGCTAGTATTTAGCTTCTCCAGCCTCCACAATAGAGCTGTCAAGGAAGAAAGGGATGAGGATGTTAGCCAGTCAACAGTCTTGGCTACCAAGAGCATGCAGATAGGCATGCATCTGCAAGGTGTTTGTATGAAGACCCAGCATTCATATCAATAGAGCTCCATGTC